GGGACAAGAAGAGAGGGACACAACCTAGAACAGGGCCCCCTGCCTGTCATTTCCTAGGGCCCCATATTTCCTAAATCCGGTCCCTTCCTAATTTTGACACCCCCCCCCAAAAAAAAAACCCAAACTGGACCGTTTGACTTTAGTAAAGAGAAGTTTCTTTATTCTCTCCGTTCCTCTGTAATCTCCTGCTTGCTGGATTAGGTAGATGGTCTGAAGGATGGAGGTTAGCTCGGCGGGCTGGGATGGTTGTGGGTTTGATTTTTCAGATCATCCAGGCAGAGACAGGTCTTCACTCTTTCCATAAAAGGATTTACTGAGCAGATTATTATTGGGGTCTGTGTTCAGTCTACTTTATGGTCAGGATCTAAATGTTCTGATGACCTACGTCATGCATCTTCTCCTTACTGATCTCAGAGGTTTTCTAGAGGTCTTCTGGAGCAGCAGAGCAGGAGGTAAAGCAGTGGGATGGAGCGGAGGTGTTGGGGGGAGCTAAGCAGACCTGATGGATGAAACACGTCTTTGAACATCACATGGATTCTGGACGTCTGATCAGACCAAGAAGCAGGAAACGGGACAGGTAATCAGTTGCCATGGTAACGGTGATTGATCACTAGTTTGACTGGGATGGAACCAGCTCTGACTGGGAGCTGGGTGGTCTACAGTCAGGTTCCAGCTGTCCGTCCGTTCCTTTGCTGATAGAGTTTAAAATCAGAATTCACTCTGCTTTTAACCCATCGCCCTGGGGAGCAGTGGGCTGCCATTGGCGGCACCCGGGTAGCAGTGTTCTGCCATTGGCGGCACCCGGGTAGCAGTGGGCTGCCATTGTGCAGCGCCCGGGGGGCAGTGGGCTGCCATTGGCGGTGCCCGGGGAGCAGTGGGCTGCCATTGTGCGGCGCCCGGGGGGCAGTGGGCTGCCATTGGCGCCGCCCGGGGAGCAGTGGGCTGCCATTGGCGGCACCCGGGTAGCAGTGGGCTGCCATTGGCGGCTCCCAGGGAGAAGTGGGCTGCCATTGGCGGCTCCCAGGGAGAAGTGGGCTGCCATTAGTGGCGCCCGGGGGGCAGTGGGC